GCGTGTCCCCGCGTGCCTATCTGTGTCCCTGCATGTCCCCGCGTGTCTGTGTCCCGCGTGTCCCCTGAGTGTGTCCCTGCGTGTCTGTGTCCCCGCGTGTCGCCGCGTGTCCCCGCGTTCCCCCTGCGTGTCCCCGCGTGTCGCCGCGTGTCCCCACGTGTCCCCGCGTGCCTATCTGTGTCCCTGCATGTCCCCGCGTGTCTGTGTCCCGCGTGTCCCCTGAGTGTCTGTGTCCCTGCGTGTCTGTGTCCCCGCGTGTCCGCTGTGTGTCCCTGCGTTCCCCCTGCGTGTCCCCGCGTGTCGCCGCGTGTCCCCGCGTTCCCCCTGCGTGTCCCCGCGTGTCGCCGCGTGTCCCCGCGTGTGCCCTGAGCGCCCTGCGTGTGCGGTGGTGCAGGAGCGGCGCGTGGGGGTGGAGACGGGCCGGCGGGGCGCGCAGGGCGGTGCCCACCCTTGCTGGAACTGGCCGCGCCTCCTCCCTCTACTCACAGACATTTTATAAATTAGTTTGGATTCTGTGGAAATTTCGTTTATCATTTTTCCCTCGTTCCCCTGGTAACGGCACAAGCAAACACAGCTGCGTCACCTGGCTCCGGGCTCCGCTTCTCAGCCCACGCCCCGGCCGCGCCAGGCCCGCCCGCGCCCGCTCGGGAAGTGGGGTGCCGGCGGCTCGGAGAGCTGGGGGCGGCTGAGGCCGGAGACGCACCGGGGCTGCCCCCCAGCCCCCCGCGGGGCGGCTGCCTCGCTGCAAATCGCGCTTCCTGCGCTGGGTGGGGGCTGCGGCGCCCCGCGAACTCCCCGCGCTGGCCTCGGCCAGGTTCCCCGAGAGGAGACGCGCTGCAGGCCGGCCTGGGCCGTGTCCGGCCAGACGCCGCCGCCCTTCCCCCCGCAGCGAGACGCCAGACGCCTCGGGCAGCGCCGGCCGGCCGGTGCCCTGGGGGGGACGGGGAGGGGGGCCCCAAGCCAGACAGACACTCGCAAGGCCTGAGCCCCGCTGCGAGCCCCAGGAAAGCCGCCCGGCCAGACACCCCGCCCCCCGGAAAGTGTGTTCGGCCAGAAGCCAAGGGAGAGGCCGGCAGCCGGGGCGCGCGGCCTTCGTGTGAGGGAGCAGCTGGCGCTGGGGCGGGCGGCCTTGCTGGAGGAGGTCCGGTCTCTCCAGATGGTTCCGTCGTACCTGGTGCAGCCGCTCCGAGCCAACTCCGCCACGCACCTGGCGCTGGGGCGGGCGGCCCTCCTGGCCCGGCTGCTGGAGAGCCTGGGCACCGAGGGCTCGGGCCTCAGCCTGGACGCC